TATCAGCAAAAAGAACAAGGAGTACTTGTGGCACCTTAGAGACTAACAAATTTATTTGAGCAGAAGCTTTCATGGGCTATTTCCCCGCTAAACTCAGGGTGTCTCTCAGCTATCTGATATGGAGGAAACATTTCCTTTGACACATATTTCCTGACTTCAACACTCAGAATCACATGCTGAGTTACCCTAATTTCTAGACAACAAAGATTCAGTTTGTTAGTGAAATACACGTATACATCACACATTCTATTACATCACACTCCCATTTATCTGACCGGCCTGGGCAACATCCAGACTTTCAGATAACTGGGCATTTCGACAAACAGAAGAAGTGCTAGAGAATTTAGTGCTAGAAGCCAGAGAGAGTAGGAGGAGGGGATGGGGCTGAGCTAATCTTCGCTCCTGCATGCTAAGGTGATGGTGGTCCCCAAGGTGCTGAATGGACAGAGCCCAAAAGGAGGCAGAGAGGAGGGTGGAGGAGGGAAAGGGGGAAGAAACGACGGATGAGAAAGGAAAGGAGGGCAGAGGGGCTCAGGTGGTTAATTAGCCACCTGAGACCACAGCCACCTTGGAGCTGCTTGAGCATTTCCCAGCACTGACAAATCTGAGGGAGTGAGCCAGCCCTACCCCTCACTATTTGTATTAGTGCTTGTGGAGCCCAGGGCATCAGTGCCGGGATGCCCTCAAGAAGCACCAAGGTGGCTGTGGTCTGAGGTGGCTAATTAACCTCTTCCTGCATCTTTTTTCCTTCCACTTTTCTCTCCTCTATCCTCCTCTCTGCCTCCTTTCTCTCCCCTCCCTCCTGCCCTGTTCTCTTTCCCTTAATTTCAGTTCTGTCTGAGCCTGTGGTTCTCTCCTGAATCCTTCTCCTTTCAATCTCCGCCTAAATCTTTTCATCTGTTTTCTTTTTGCCAGTTCTCTCTCTCTCCCTCACATCACCTCTTCTCTCCTCCCCTATTTCTCCCCATTTTCTCACTGCCATCATCCCTAACTTCAGAAATCCTCCCAAATCACAGTTCCCAGAGCCCTATGGTTAGTTAATCAGTGGGTGATTAGCTAACACACCACTACAGGGGGGACATACTGTGCATTCAGATAACTAGGATTTCTGGATACAGGGAATTTGGATAACTGGAATTAACCTGTAGATGGTTTTAAGTCAAGTAACTTTACAATAACCAAGTTTTCATTGGGGCAAACAAAATGCATGTAATTGTACCACTTATCCATTAAAACCGGCGTGAAGGCGTCTTCTCCAGTTCTGCGTCACAGTGACCCTGAGTGGTCTCTCGAGCTCACTAGAAAGTTCATTTAGATAGTTCACTCACTCAAGGGGTTATGACAGCCGTGTTCTTCTTCTCTTTCTGGATCTCACTGCCGTCTCCCTAGACAGAACATTAAAGGAAGTATTAATAGGGTGAACATAAAGGAAGTGACTTTAGTAGTTACCAGACTGGGGGGGCTCTCTGTAGCCAGGTGATGATAGTCCCACTCGCCGTCTCTCTCATCCAGATATATGAGCGTCACATGGATGCTTTGACCCAAACTGCCTGTTTTATAGATTCTCAGGGCTTGGTTTCTTCTTGGCAAGGCTGTTGTGGGCCAATCAGAAAGTGACCCCTGCTTCTGGGGAAGCTTTGAACTGTCCAACCACAATCTGGATGCTGGAATTCTTGCAACTCTGTCTCTGCAAAATTCCATGGTCTTTGTGCAAAACATCTTGTGCCCTCCCAGATTGTGTAAGATATGTTAAGCCATCATGTCTTGTGCAAAACATCTTAGGACATATAACGAACACCTGCTGGTTTAGCTCTGATCAGCAACTTACTTCTGCAGGCCACTTCCCACAGGCCTCCCTGCGGTGTGGTCCTTGGCCAACTTGACACAACTCTGAGACCTTCCTCAAGTGGCAGTTTCTCTGTCAGCACTTTGAGCTGCCAGCAGAAATACCCACTCTGAAGGAGAGATACTTTGCATAAATCCTTTCACATTTCTTGATGATTCTGTATGTTTTTTTCATAACTTACAATGCTGCAATATAAAGTCATTTGACTCATTTGCCTTGTGTATTACTGATAAAGTTGGCCACAATTAAATCAATATATAAAACAAATTGCTCTTCATGACTCTGTACCAGTAGCTTGATAATCTCTACATTTGATTTTTAAAATTGTATGCTTGACTTGTGTGTTTACATATAGTAATAATTAATACTTATACTTATTAGTAATAATAATGTTAAAATTAATCAGGCATTGTGGTTGTTTAGCCCATATTACATTTTAATTGAGTTCACCTTACAGATTTTCACTTCCTGTTGGTTCCGAATGTATCACTTTGTAGAATATAAACCACATGCTTTCTTCCCTTTGTTAAAATTAGTTAGACATTATGGATGCTGCCACTGGTAGCGACACTTTAATTTGAGATTGGTCGACACATTCTTTTATATGCCCCTGTTTTCAGTTACTTAGAAATTTGCCATATTTAAAGTGTTTAAAGTTCTCTGTGCCATGCAGTGAACAGAGAATGTTTGGGTTGGTTTTGTTTTTGTTTTGTTTGTTTGTTTGTTTGTTTTTAGCAACATGCCGTATCAAGCTCTACTGAGGAAAACACATCTGTGAAATGGGCTTTTCGATCACTTATAATTTAACCAAATCTGAATGGCTTTCCATGGAAGCAGAAAAGAACCTCCCTGGCTTCAGGGCTGTTTGCCTACCAAATATTACATTTCTACTGCAATCCATGGAAGCTTTAAAACGCTTCAGAAAAAAGAGCTGGAAAAAATATTATAATAAAAAGAATTAAGCAACCTTACCCTAGCCTCAAAAATATCCCTCTATACTATCCCTGGATTTTATGTACTTCTTACCTGCAGCAATCCGGTGCACAAAAACAGCCAGGAGAAAGTAAAGCATCTTCGCGGCACAGTGCCATTCAGGATTTCAGCATCATTAGAGACAAAAAACACACACACAAAAAGAGGAGCTAGACAATCCCCATATTTAGGGTGCTGGTGATATACTGAGTTGCAGAACTCTTGTTTTGATCGAAGTGATATTTAAAGTACGTCTGCTGCAATTAATAATACTGAATATTATAAACAGCACCAGTGTATGTTAAAGAAATGAAATTAGCAGGCCATTGCTTCCTTGTGGAAGTAACAATATCATTCTTTACACCTGGCAAACATCTACGGCCTGTCCAAATCCTTGTAGTCAATGGAACGACCACGCATTGACAACAGTTTGGAGAGGTCCTTAGTACAGATTGAAATTCCAGCAAATAGCTCCCCCTGGAATGTTACTTGCAAGAGGGGATTTTGTGTGCATCTGAGTGTATCAGTTTTATACAATTTTATCAACTTTTTTATATATAGGATTTCTCCCCTGCAATCTTTTGCATCCAAGCAATTAAAGGAAGGTATAACATCCTTGTAAAGCCTAAAAATAACATTTATAACAAGACAATCATGTGAGCCATGAATTTATGGAGGTTATTGTAGATCTAACATGATACATTTAACAGCTTTTGCCAGGACCAAGCTGTGATTTTTTCCCATTATTTTTGCCATCACTAACCACCATCATTAACAATAACAGTTAAAAGTATAGACACAAACTGTTGATGAGTCAAGCCGGGCAAAGCCCAAGGACGCGGCTTGTGCCATTAACAAAGGCTTAAACAAAGACTGTGAATGGCTATCCAACTACAGAAGCAGTTTCTCCTCCCTTGGTGTTCACACCTCAATTGCTATCAGAGCACCTCACCCTCCCTGATTGAACTAACCTCGTTATCTCCATACTGATTTATACCTGCCTCTGGAAATTTCCATTACTTGCGTCTGATGAAGTGGACATTCACCCATGAAAGCTTATGCTCCAATACTTCTGTTAGTCTTAAAGGTGCCACAGGACCCTCTGTTGCTTTTTACAGATTCAGACTAACATGGCTACCCCTCTGTTACTCTATACCTATTTGATTATTCCACTATATTTCTCAGTGTAGACAAGCCCTTATATTATTTTTGCCAGCACCAGAGCTCTAGGGATCCAGCCCGGACTAAGTTTGTCTTCCAGAGAAAGTGATTCCCAGGCTGTTTTCCCCTTCTCAGAGAAACTCTTTTTTTTTTTAAAAGGCCGACCCTCCCGGTGCATGCCTGAGCCCAACTACCACACTGCTCAGTGCTTTGTTGTTAAACAGCCCAGGTGCCAGCGCTTGCTTTTGCCTGAGATTGGCCGTCTGGGCAAAACCAGCCAGGCCACATAAGAATATCCCCCATGATGGTTTCTCTGTTATTTGGCTGTTGCACTGACTCATACTCAATGGCTTGTAGTCACAGGTCTTGTGTCTGTAGGGAGTGTGTGTAACATCAACAGACCCCAGTTGTCGGTGTGGGGGATCAAACCTGGGGCTTCTGGAGTTTAGTGCATGAGCCTCTATGGCATGAGCTAAAAGCCACTTGGCCCTTAGCTAAGGCTGTAGAGCAGACTCATTAATCTCTCTGTAAGTGGTCTCAGTGCCACAGCACCGCACCCAGGAGGTGTGTGGGTTACATGTGCTGAAAATGTCTGCTCCCCCTGACATTCCCAACTTCCATCTCAGGAATCCTAGATAGAAATCATGTTTTGGGGTCCAGCTCAATCTTCATTACCAGTCCCCCTCCCTCATATTCAGCACCATGGAGTTTCAAACGTGTGCTCACTGGAGGCCCAGGTTGGATAAATGGAGTACAGCAGTGGTATCTCTGCTAAGGGCCAATTTTACACCTAGTGAAGGAGACTTGCTAGTTTTTAAGGGCTAGACTCTGCTAGGCCTGTTCTAATTAGCTCCTTACTCCACTTAGTCCCACTGATTTTAATGGCACAACTCGCAGCACAAGAAGTACTCCGTGTGAGGGAGCGTGGCAGGGTCTGGCCCTGTATCTACTCATTGTGCATGGTCTGTTTCTTGTGCTGCCGTCGGGTCTCTGGGAGTAAGCCTAGAAAATTCCAGCCTGTCCAAGCAGAGTGGATCCCATTAGCCTCAGACCATCCGTGTCCCAGCATATTATTGCATGAGGCTGCAGTGACACAACTTGGTGCAGTGAGCCACTGACCTGTTGTTAGGATGAGCCCTTTAGAGCCCATTGCTTCCTGCTCATCCACATAGTGAACGGACACAACTAGTAAGGGATACATTGTCACCAGGGCTTGGAGCCAACAACATTTCAACCCCACCCCTAAGCTTCAGATCATCCCTCCCAGTGGCCAGATTTCCCCTCTCTCTCCATGAGAGGTTTACTATCGCTGAGCCGTTCTCTTCCATTCTTTCTCCAGCAGGCCCTTTACATACCCCAGTTCAAAGCAAAAGCCCCCTCCCCCCCAATATTTCCAAGGGAGTGGGACTGTGGGGGGGGGGGTCTGTCCTTCTTCTACAGCCTGGAAAGGAGACACTGGGGCACCCCTTTTCCTCCAATCCACTGGTAAACACCTCCTCCCTCTTTCTTCACCCCTCCCCAGAGTGTGTCTTGATAGGTTTGGCGATTGACAGAGAGATCACAAGGCTCCTGGTCCTCGGACCTTAAAGAAATAGCCTGGTTTCCCCCAAGATATTCAACTATCCCTCCCTGGGACCACTTCCTCTCTCCCAGCAGCTGCTACTCCCAATTCTCATCCCTTTATTTACTTCAGAATGCATGCAATGGAGTAGCCTCATGTTAAAGGGCTGGTGTACCCCATAATACCCCCACTTCCCCCCATTGGGAGGCAGTATTATATTAATCTCCCCAGAGAAGTGAAATCCCAACACTTGGTCTCATTGAAGGTCGATTTTCAGTGGCTGGACATGGTCTGGAGATCTGGGTGGGAACAGGCATGTGGAAATGTTGACCTGCATGCCCTGCTGTGTTGCAAAGGCAAGGAGACAACAGAAGCTGTTTGGAAATTTTGCTCATCTGCTGTGTCAAAATCACATTGGTTTGTTTGGCTGCCATATCTCATTAAAACTCAGGTCTGTGTTATGGCTGCTTAGCAATTCAATGTATTTGCGACAGAAAGGCATCAGCTTTGGGAGGGGTTTGCAAACATCAGAAGCTCTGCAATGAGTATTCGTTTCTGACGTGTTATTTCTTTGCTTTGTGAAATGTTTTAATTTGGTATAGAACCATCAGGGCCGGCTCCAGGCACCAGCGAAGGAAGCAGGTGCCTGGGGCGGGCAATAGAAAGGGGCAGCAGTCCGTCCGTTGCTGGGGTGGCACGTCCGGGTGTTCGGCGGCAATTCAGCAGCGGGTCCTACACTCCCTCTCTTCACTTGTCAGCAGCATTTCGGCGGCAGCTCAATCGTCACTTCTTTTTTTTCCCACCGCTTGGGGCGGCAAAAAAGCTGGAGCCGGCCCTGAGAACCATAGAATCATAGAAGCATAGGGTCAGAAGAAACTGCCAGGGTCATCTAGTCTAACCCCCTGCAAAGATGCAGGATTTGTTGTGTCTAAGCCATCCAATACAGATGGCGATCCAGCCTCCTTTTGAAAAACTCCAGTGAAGGATATTCCACGAGCAGTTTGTTCCATTGTCCTACTGTTCTCACAGTTAGGAAGTTTTTCCTGAGATTTAA